TCAGGTTCTCCCGAAGGTTCCGGTTCCGCTTGACCTTCACGTAGAAAAGACACGGTAATTAAGTCTCGTGATTTCGTGCTAAATGTTTTACCATCTGGTCTTATATGATGTCTTGATGATATCAACTTCCTGGTCGTCTTACCTGTGCATACTGGAACAGGATGACTCCATGTTCCGTCAGCTCGGCACGTCGCAGCAGCAGCACCGTTCAGGACGTATCCCGAGTTGCAGGTGAAGGTGACCCCGTTCGGGTAGGAGACCGCTCCGGTAGGACTCACCGCTCCGTTAGCTGGGGCTGCCCGAGCCGGACATTGGACCGCTGCAATGGAAAGTACAAAAATAAATAATTCTTATAAAACATCTAACTAGAAAAGACAACACAATATCTTATATATGCCTTGTGCTGATTAGTACACGTTCGGGTAGGAGACCGCTCCGGTAGGAGTCACCGCTCCGTTAGCTGGGGCTGCCTGAGCCGGACATTGGACCACTGCAATGGAAAGTACAAAAAAAAAAATAATTCCTATGAAACATCTAACTAGAAAAGACAACACAATATATACCTTTTGCTGATTAAGACACGTACGTATACCAGGGAGATAATTGATATTTCTCTACACAAACCTGCAAAACAAGCATTTTACGTACGCGGTCTATGACTGTGTACCAAATTATATACTTTTATCCACCGTACCTGGGCGTCTGCTTGCAAACGCTCGTTTTGCAAGTGTTTACAATTCTGATATCCTCACCGCTAAATGACCGTTAGATAATTTATTTTGGAAGAAATTTCTTGTGTGTACTAGTGCCAGATTAATCTTACGTGTGCATGTTGGAACGGGATGACTCCATGTTCCGTCAGCTCGGCACGTCGGAGTAGAAGCTCCGTTCATGACGTATCCCGTGTTACAGGTGAAGGTGACCCCGTTCGGGTAGGAGACCGGTCCGTGAGGATGCACCGCTCCGTTAGCTGGGGCCGCCCGAGCCGGACATTGGACCGCTGCAATGTAAAGTACAAAACAATAAATATGTATGGACATTTTGGCTCTAAGTCACAATGTATTATGCCTGCTTTCTTCTTATTAATATATGCACATTTTGTACATGAACCACTAGTACAAATGTAATAGCAAAACAGTAAATATGGTCATAGAACGTTTTGTTCTTACCCATAGGTAGGCTTGCTTTTAATTGCGAAGTGTTTTAGTATGTACTTTTAAGTGTACTTTTCAATCTGCCATGTGTATTGAAACACGTAATTCAGGCCATGGCTGCTATGTATTTTGACGAATAAACCTTTCATTCATTCTTTCATTATTTTTTTATATTTCTCAACAGAAAGCTGCAAAACAGTTCATTCAGGCACTATATTAGACGGGCGTTGGTAGATAACGATTTATCGGGACATTATATATAATTACTACTCATAATCTCACCACTACATACAGTTTAGATGGGTAAAACCTATACATTGCTAGAAATTATTATAACTATAATTCATCTTACGTGTGCAAGTTGGTACTAGGTTACTCCATGTTCCGTTAGCTTGGCAGGTTGTATCACCAGCGCCGGTCAGTACGTATCCCGTCTCACAGTTGAACGTGACCAGGTTAGGGTAGGAGTGTGGTCCGGGGGGAGTCAGCGATCCAAATTCTGGGGCGGTCAGTGTCGGACATTGAACGGCTGTAATGGAAAGTTCAAAATAAACACTTTCTGTCAAACCTGGAAATAAAGTCAGAAAGTGTACATGTAGTCTTAGTGATCAAAATAACTCCATACCTGCCAGCCATAGCTGTCGCCGCGCCGCGTGCCTGCGAAGCTGATGTGCTACACCGAAGGGTATTTTTACTTTGTACAACCCACGTAAACATTCTCTTAACACATTTTAATGAGGTACCCTTGTTAGCGCATTGGAATGATCATTGTACTCTGTTACGCATTAGGATGAGCACTGTAACTGATTTTTGTTTATTGTCCAGTTACCAGACCTAGCTTTTAAAATAGCCTTCAGTTAGTTTGGCAGTCAAGGTTGTATCAGTCAATACAACATAATGAATCAAATCCTTTTTGCATTGTCTGCATTCCTTCTGCAGTGTATGTACAATCTAGTTTACTTACAGATAAACATCATTTGACAAAGTCTTACCGTCACAGTCCAGGCTGGAACCTCTCCACACACCGTCGACACACATCTTTGTTTCCGCCCCTCCCACTTTGCTGTGCCCGTGGTCACATTGGTAACTGCAGGTTGTCCCAGCTGTGAACGGTGCCGAGCAGCCACTGCCCCAAACAACGTTGGCATTCCTGATCACGGGTGGACCACTAGTACAGGGACTGCCTGTGAAAGAAGCGTCGAGCTCAGTTATCAACTATATAGCCTCCATCGGTCGATATTGACAATAGTAAAAACCTACATAAAATTCACTAAGCAATAACGGAACTCGAAAAAGAAAGAAAATATCTGGGTAACAGCTTCGCACTTGGGGCAATTAAATGGCCGTTATTCAAATAATTCTAACTTTTCTAGCAATAACTACGTATATCTTTTGATCGAGACGCTTGTCTAAGATTTAGAACAGTTGACTAGACACAACCATTTCACAAAATCTATTAATTTAATGCACTTTGATTGGTTACGTACATGAACACTTCAGTCTTTTCCCACCAATCCAGTAACGGCCGTATCTACACGTCCTGACAGTGGCTCCTCGCTGCCTCACACATCCGGGGACACAGGCATAGCGGCACACGTCTCCACATTTATAGGGAGGCCGGCAGCCGCTGCGGACGGTGTTAGGTATCACTAGAGGCCTACATCCGCCTGGAATATCACACAACAAATACAATTACAAATTACAATTTCATTACAGGAAAGGTGGGACAATTCTTCTTCCACTATCTCGGCAAAAGAAGTGGAACCCCAAGCACGCCAGTCCCTTTATATCCACATTAGCACTACGTACTTTGTACAACTGTATTTTTCTACCATACAACCTACACAAGTAATGTTTGGGACACTGCACCAGAGCAAGATCTACAGAAACTGCAACGGATGCAGAACAGGGCTGGGAGGCTGCTGCTAGGAGCCCCGCACAGAACGCCGTCGACTGAAGTACGGACTCGACTGGGCTGGAAGGACATCAAATCCATACACAGAGACCAGAAATCCCTGCTAACTTACAAAAGCCTTAATAACTGTTTGCCAGCCTACATGAGAGAACTGTTTACATACTGTAGTGATAGGGCAGTAAGAACCACGCGGCAAAGTGTATCTGACATTTTGTATGTGCCAAGGGTTCGTCGGGAAGTATACAGAAGATCGATTTCCTACTCAGGATCAGTACTGTGGAATAACTTATCAACTGAGTTAAGAACGGCCACGTCAGTTGCAGCTTTTAAAAACCGGCTGCGTCAAGTCACAAGTTAGAAATTAGAATGACTAAATTTGTGAACTGAAATTTGGATGATTGATACTGATGAGTCATACGAACCGAGATAGTGTTTGGTTTTTGTATACTGTGTATATATTTATATTGTAATTATACGACTGATTGTAACTGAACTGAACAATTTGTAAAGACCCCTGACCTACCTCCCCTTGACCTCTTGAAAAACGGCTTAGGCCGAAGAGCTTGTACTGCTACACAATTGTACTGTACATTTTCAAGGTGAAATAAAGGTTGCAAAAAAAAAAATAATTTGGTATTTAGTGTCAAAATTTGGCCTTCTCCACTATACCAGCAACTAGCCTCCGGGCAACAACTTTCAATAAACTTTTAGTATTTTTTTTTAACTGAAGTCGTGCCAATTGATACTTAAGAATGCCCAAGTTAAAAATCTTCCCCTCGCTCCCTCCCTAAACACACAGCATTACCCAAACACTTGGCTTCCCTAACGGAATGTTTACGGTTGGTTAGATCGTCAGGTAGCCGGCCTGGATTGGCTGCCAGGAGAAACTCATGATAACCGTTTTCCAAAAATTGGATTATGTTTTGTCTACCTCGAGCTTAGCAAAAAGGTTAATGTTTACATCTGCACCTTTATTTCCACTGGGTCCCAAAAAGGAAAAATAAACAAACGGCCCTGTCCTATTTGTTTAATGCCATTTTAGATACATTTGGATCAATTCAAACCAAGATTTTAAAGAATTGTCAATCAGTTCCAAGGCAACAGGCTAGGAGTCGTGACATACATTACATGATAAGTGTGGTGGCGCTTCTAGAAGGGTGAGTAAGACATCCTGACCATAATGCTTCTTGTCAGGTGACACTAGTATTCACCTAGCCTGCTACCCCAACAGGTCAAATTTTGCCTGATCATTACCCTTCAAAGGCTGACAACTGATGCGGAATGACTCGCTCGAGGCGCTGACGATGACTCAGTTGCAGCTGCGACCAGCTCCATGCTTAGTGGAGTGGAAAGTGTGTAGAGATCTTTAGATAATGAGGCTGCAAAGGTGCGGCGGGGTACTAGCGGACGAAAACCAGTTGGCCTTGGAAAACAAAGCCCACAACTGGGTGTGATTTTTGGGGAGGGGGGCAACAAGTTCCTTTCAGAGAGAGATTGTTATATCATAAATTCTGTTTATCGTTGTTTTTTTTTTCCTTTTGATCACACTCCGTGTTCAAATCAAGACAAATGCATATGTCATTGTCATCAGTGGTGCTTTTTTTATCTATGATTGGGTGTCACAAATGACACATTGCGGGTTAAGGGGCCTGCCATCGGTTGCAATGGGCCTGCCTGGTTCATGGGATAGTTCTGTGGATGCATAATATATTATGTTCTTTACATGTAAGAGAATGACAAAATTACATCGTTTGGCACATGTATGTCCAAGCCCTGGAATTCTGTCCTAGCTCCAGCAGTTACAAAGCTCTCAAAGGAAGACTCTGTGTCAATCTGCTTAGCATGCTGACGGGAGACATGAAGCACAGAGGGCTAGGCCCTCCTACAACAGAAAAAAAATTAAGAGCTAAGGGAACTCTCAGACAGAAGACACAGTGGAACAAGATGACGTAAGACGGAATGCAGGTGCAGGACGTTTTCATACGACTATAGATGCATAATACAGTGGATGATAATGATGGCAGTTGCGTTCTAGGGCCGGACAACCCCCTCGGGCTCAACTCCCCCGTAGCGGTAATTTATAATAGGCGGGCGAAGGGCTCTTGGCTGCCGAAGGAAAACGGCTAACGGCCCGATACTAGTTTGTCATCAAGGGTAGGATGTCCGAGGATAGATATTTTTATATGTGTACACAGATATGTGTGTGTGTGCGTGTGTGTTTGTATCATAATCCAGCATATGGGCGAAGTACATAGACCAGAAATACCTACACAGCTCCAGATTTTCGTGCTTAATATTTTGAGCTTAATAAAGGTGATATTTTGAGCCCTGTACTAAGAATTTTTTTACATAATTAAAAGAAACTTACGTTTTTTAAATCTCTTGGGGCATTTGCCTTTTCCTTCTATGCTCGACAAATGTACCAGGATAAGGATGACTACAATCCAGGCATGAGACCTAAAGTAAGGAGAAATTGAAACCGATTGTTAGTTTGAATGATGAATACTTACTTACTCATACCACACAATTTACTCTCGTCTTTAGAATAAGAAATATGTACGTGGATGAGTGTAAAAATTAGAATACAAGAACTAGTAGTCGGTTATTAGCCACCTTATTTCTGTAAATCATGAGAGAGTACATAATGTTTGTTAGGGTTCCTCTTCAGTAAAATCTGACTGACGAATCTTTTCTTTCATAAGTTGAATTCATATATATCCGTAAAATACACTAAAATTACAACCTAACATGATAAATGGCATCTTAGCTGACATGTAATACGGAGAATACTGAGCAATTTGTTTATTGACATGTCTTTACAAAAATCTTTACAAAAGTTTTAAAAAAGACTAAAATTAGAAAAAAAGTTACACGTTCAATTCACCATTACATAAATCAAACGATACGATATAAGTGTGATCAAGAGGACAGAGTTCTGATATAAACTCCCTGAGTTAAGAGTTTACCACCATGGATCCATATCATATGAGGGTTGTCGTCTGTGTTTTTAGTTTCTGGTCCTCAGTATACGAAATACAACCGTTGATCGAAAAATGCTGAGAGCTGCCAGGACATCACTAGTATTTTCTTGTTATCACAATGCCAACAAGAGTTCTGAGATCTCATACCTCCATTAAATATGGGCTTGACATGTAAATGTGTTCTTTAATTATGCAAATGACCTCTACATAAACATAATAAATGCACCATGATGTTAACTTTTGATTAACCTACACATGTTCCAAGTATGAAATTCCCATAATTTACCACTTAGGAGTCATGGAATTTTGAGATTAAATATGCAAATTAGGTCCGTATTTGCATAATTGGTATCTGGTGATATTCCTCCTGTCATAGATTATAAACATTGCATGTATCAAAGTCACATGATGCAAAATACTGGAATTACACAATTTCCTAATTAATTTCATCATTTAATTGCATAATTTGCATCCAATAATGTAGATCTCTGTCTAAGCACATACCAAAAATCAAGAAAATACATTATTCCTTTGTGAATTTATCTGCTCTGCAAGGTTTCACCAGAAACCCCTCTGTAGTTCCAGAACAAGCTGCTAGGGGAACCAAACCCACACCACTTATTACTGACCGGAAAAGCTATCCAACTCTCAAAAATCAAGACCAAAGCATGTCCAGGAGAAAAGATACAAAAAAAACGGACGTTGCTGCAGTACCAAGGTCAGCCACCAGGAGGTCCAAAATTGACCTTGACCTTTGCTTACCCAGCACCTACCCACATATTTCAATATTGTTACCATCCATCCAAAGGTTCAAAAGTTATGCTGGCTACAAATGTGCGGAAACACAAACACACAGACAGACATAGTACAGACACACACACACACACAGACAGACACGCCAAAAACAATACCTCAATTTTCATGGAGGTAAAAATGGCACCGAAACCGAACCAAAAGGGACTGTCTGTCTGTCTTAAATGACACTTTGGATCCAACGGTTGATAACTTCTCTGTTCCAAATGGCGACTGTAGTCAACCTACTGGCGGTAAGCATAGTATCATATTCGAATCATGATACGCACCAAAACTTAAAACCGGTAACAAAACAAAACTTCATGGTAAAATACTTTAGGATTCTAAAATTTATTTACACAGTCCAGTCACTTGACATTTTTAAATTCAAAAATCTAATGGATTTTATTTACTGCAGAGTGCAAATGGTTTCTCACGCTCAAATTTTCTATCACTTTGAACAATTACCTGATGACCTTTTTGGTTACGTTCCAACTCGAATCCATGTTAGTTTGACTAAATTCGTTTTATATAGAATTGATTTTTAAGTCCCTACCTAATTAAGAAAATTAAGATAAGATATATACTTGAGACTACTCGATACAAATTCAAAACCTTAACGTTTCCATTTTATAAATAGTTCTGCAATGAACAAATTATTTATGCCTGAGTTGGCTTCTTACTTCCTCCTGTCGCCTTTTTGTTCTACTTTATACATTGAGCATAATTTTTGCAGCTATTCCAAGCTACGAAATACATTCTAGTGACTTATTATAGGATATGGAGGCGCACTACTAACAGTTACGTACCTCATGCTGGGGCAGGGTAACCAGCGTGGCCGTGCAGGCCGGAACTCTCTCACGGTACCGGTGTGCTATGCCGCCAGGCCGAGACGATCAAATGCCACGAATCTTGCAGTACTTTGTCAAGTAACGAACGTTAAGTTCGTGAAAATGTAACTGTACAGGACACACTGAGGTATTACCCGTTTTGTGAAGACATATGTATCGTGGCGGTCTATAGATATATTTCCGTGATAACTGCGGTGACGTACGTATTTGACGAGCGAAGACAATTGATTTTTTACTCAACAATTGGCCGACCTGTATTAACCTATGATGGACAGTACCATATTACTAAAGTTTTAACACAACTCACAGTAATGTGCGAGGAATTTAAATTTGATCTTACGTAGATCAGATTCTTAGAATTAAAAGTAAATGAAATCACAACCATGTGATTCGTAATATTGTTTTATTTTGTTAACCAAATAACTTTGTATGTCCCCCGCTATGGGCGAAACCATTCAAACAACATTATCATACGCTCAAGGCCCCAAGGTATAACGCCAGTGAGGTGTGTGAACAATTAGTATTCCAGACAGGGTATATATCATTACCTTCGCCAAGAAGGTTATGTTTTCAGAGGCGTTCGTGTGTCTGTAAACACGATAACTTGAGAAGGCTTTAATGGACTGACTTGATACTTGGTAGGTGGGTAGGTCTTGATAAGACCTCAAAATGATTAGATTTTGGACCACCTGGCGGCTTGTCATGGTACTGCAGCAGAACTTTCGCTTTTGATATCTCATGATCCAGATATGCTAGGGTAACAAAATTTAGATGGTAGATACATGTACCTCTTGTGCTGGGGACGAAGTGACGTCATCCATATTTAAGCTATCCGCCATCTTGGATCATGAATCTTGAATTTTCAAAAATAGTTTTTTTTTTCAGGATAAAGCCTAAAATACATTGTAAACAGACTAAAGACGTTCATATGAACCTTTTTTTTTGTAAAAAGAAATGGAAGTATTGATGAAATTTTGAGGAAAATAACCTGTATATACCTGTTCTAATGATATGGTCCGCCATCTTAGATTTTGGCCACTGACGTCATGAAATTAGCATAAATTATACATTCTTAATGATGACATTTACATAAATTTATATGGGATGCTATTGATATTAGAAACTATGTGTAACTTGACAGTAAACCCATAAAATTCTATTGTTGAAACAAAAATTACTAAATTTAGCAAAAAAATGCCTGACAGAAACCCGTTGCCATGGCAACACAAAAAATTATTATCTTATTCCAATGTTACAGAATTGTTGCCAACAATATTCTAGGAAAAGTCACCAATTTCGGCCGTTCTAGCACTAGCCATTCAGACGCTACTAGTATGTGACATCAAAGTTGGCGCGGGCACTTTTAGCCCCCCCCCCCGTCTATATAGGGTTAAAAGTATAAATAAGAAATGGATTGCCTATGAATTGGATTTCGACATCTTCGAGTTGCTGCGTTGTTAATGCGCTACTCTGTACACGATCGTGGTGATCATATCAAGGCGTGAAGAATAAAAACATTTGTCAATATACAGCAATTGCTGTGGTTCTTTATGCAAGTAACTCAACTCTCACTATATATCATTACAAAAACAGTCCGACTGTGATATACACAGACACTGATATTTATGGTTGTTTTCTCTTGCGCGGATCGCAGTTATTATTGATTTTGTTCTTGTTGTTGTTGTAGAATTTCTGAAATACAGATTTTGTGTTCGTATTTTTATCTACGCCTGTTGAAGCCATGGATGGATGTGAATTGTTTTGCAGTGTGTTTTCATGCTCAACGTTAATTAAATTACTATCTGGTGTACTGGTGGTTACCCAGGTCAGTACAGCGCTACAGACAACAAACAAACAAACAAACAAATTAGCAGGTGTACTGGTGGTTACCGAGGTCAGTACAATGCTGACAAAAACAAACAAACAAATAAACAAACAAAAAACAGATCAGCAGGTGTACTGGTGGTTACCGAGGTCAGTACAGCGCTGAGAAAAACAAACAAATAAACAAACAAACAAACAGATTAGCAGGTGTACTAGTGGTATTACCGAGGTCAGAACAGCGCTGGGAAAAACAAACAAACAAACAGATCAGCAGGTGTACTGGTGGTTACCGAGGTCCGTACAGCGCTGGAAAAACAAACAAACAAATTATCAGGTGTACTGGTGGTTACCGAGGTCAGTAAAGCGCTGGGAAAACAAATAAACAAACAAACAAAACAGATTAGCAGGTGTACTGGTAGTTACCGAGGTCAGTACAGCGCTGGGAAAAACAAACAAACAAATAAACAAACAAACAAACAGATTAGCAGGTGTACTGGTGGTTACCGAGGTCAGTACAGCGCTGGGAAAAACAAACAAACAAACAAATTAGCAGGTGTACTGGTAGTTACCGAGGTCAGTACAGCGCTAGAAAAAACAAACAAACAAACAGATTAGCAGGTGTACTGGTGGTTATCCAGGTCCGTACAGCGCTCAGAAAAACAAACAAACAAATAAACAAACAAACAGATTAGCAGGTGTACTGGTGGTTACCGAGGTCAGTACAGTGCTGAGAAAAACAAACAAATAAACAAACAAACAAACAGATTAGCAGGTGTACTGGTGGTTACCCAGGTCGGTACAGCGCTACAGGCAACAAACAAACAAACAAACAAATAAGCAGGTGTACTGGTGGTTACCGAGGTCCGTACAGCGCTGGGAAAAATAAACAAACAAACAAATTAACAGGTGTACTGGGGGTAACCGAGATCAGTATAGCGCTGGGAAAACAAACAAACAGATTAGCAGGTGTACTGGTGGTTACCGAGGTCCGTACAGCGCTACAGGCAACAAACAAAGAAACAAACACATCTACAGGTGTACTGGTGGTTACCCAGGTCAGTACAACGCCGTCGACAACAAAAGTACGCAAGCTTTTGTAAAAGGCGGCGCGGGCTCAAAAAAAATGTTTCAGTTTCAGTTTATTTATTTAAGGCCACACCAAGTAAATTTTATGGATGACGTCCGCGCGCGCATTGATTTTGGCCTGTTCCTAGAAAAAAAAACAAGAAATTCCGCTTCCTGTAACTATGACCAAAGAGTCACGACAGTGCCGCAAATCGTCACATTGACGTGGAACCCGTAACGTGAAAACAGGACAGGACGACAACTGCTGTTCCACCTGATTTATTGCTGTTTTGATGATGAATAAAAGACTTCTTGCTTGTTACACTGTGTCATCTCATTCAATTTGTGTCCTAACATTTGTCGTCTCGTAGTATATTTCTAATCTAGGCATCTTGTTTTTTAGGGCCCTTCTTGTTTTTTTTTCGCCCTCTCGCATTAGATTTAGGGTCTCCAAAGGACGTCATCCATAAAATTTACTTGGTGTGGCCTAACCAGAAGATACACTCAGGTCATTTGACCTGCTTTTCAGGTAGATCTGGGTACAATAAAAATGCAGAAACAATACAATGATAACAACACAGTACATAGCACATAATAGCCATACAGCAGTACAAATACAATATAATTACAATGAGTTTTTGAAGGCCGTTACAGTTCGGAGCTTTCTCTGTTCTATTGTGAGCTGGTTCCACAGCACTGGACCCTGTTACTGCAGGCTCCCTTTGTATGCGTTAATGTTTGCCGGTGGAACAACCAGCATGTGAGGGTCCCAATTTGCTAACTGGTTTACAGCTAACCGCGTCCGTCTGTTCAACATTGGGGGTGGCAACCACTTACACATTTCAGACAAGTAAGGCGGCATTTTCTTGTTTAGTACCTTAAAAACAGTCACTAGTGTGTTTACTTCCACTCTTCTTGATAGTGTTTCAATACCCGCCTCTGTTAATAGAGTGTCAGTAGGTACTCGGTCCTGCAAAGTTCTACCGGTGATGATCTGAATGAGATTAAGGCATCGCCAAGTCGGAAAAGCTTTGAAAATAGATTGACTGAGCAACGGGAGCTTACATTGTTAGAGTAGTACAGCATGGCCTATTGGCCGGGCAAAAAATATCAGGTGTACTGGTGGATTCAAATCCCAAACCAACCAACAACTTCAAACCAACGACGCTATCAACAACCGACTAACCGACCAAAAAACCTGCCTCGCAATTCTTGATCGTTTGGGTGTATCTCGGTAGGAGAGTGACGTAAAAACGCACTAACCTTGAAGAGCGGGTAGCAGATAGTAGTAGACTGGTATATTATTAAAATCAAAGACAAGTCACATGGCAGCCAACAGGCTGAATTGACAGACTCGTGTACAAATTGGCAGATCAATATTAATTCGCTTAAAATATCTAAAATCGTTAAAATGACAAAACAGATAAAAGCAATATTTAGTATGAGGAACATTACTGGGTGTCGCCCCCAGAAGCACCGAACTACAAAAAGTCAATCCGCGTGTGCATAATAAACTCTGGCATAGACATATAATATTATATATATATGATAGAAAGAACAGTATCAGAGTCCTTTTGACAAGTAAAATCGTTAACTGTACAATTAAAACCTTCCATTATTCAACAAGTGGTCATCGAGGCTCTTATTAAGAACATCAAATTGAATTGTTTATCAGTCTTGTCATGTGCGGAATAGCGCTATTTCTGTAGCGATCAGTTCTACAGCGTTGTAAGTTCAGTTTACTAGAAGAGCGGGTGAGGCGACTGCAGATCCGGCCGTACCAACAGGACTCGTCAGCAGTGCACTGGGAGTCATCCGTACGGGACGTGTACTAAAGGGGGGGGGGGTAACAATCTATATCTGTATCCGTGTAGCCGGTATAACCGTTCTTCAGCTACACACCAGATAAAGGCAGTTATACATATGCATATACACCACCTAACAAGGCAGTTATATTTGAGTCGTCCGTACAGGTCGTGTATACTAACCACAGCATACAAGCAATACCATGTGTATGCAATATGTAATATGTAAAATCCAAAATAAAGCTAACATATGGACACTAACAACTTGGAAGTTCAGGTTTCCAGCTGCTGTCATTATTGTTTTGCTCGTTGACTGTAGTGACGAGCTGTCTACTAGTATGGAACGAGTACAAAAACGCGCTGTGCGCATCATCTCCCTCGGGGGAAAGCGAACAGTCCCAAAGCTCCCTTCTTTAAAAGAAAGGAGGGAAGCGGCCGCTTTGAAGCTGTTCACAGCTATGATAAAGCCTGAGCACCCACTGCATGACCTAGTGCCCCCCCCCAACGGTCCGCAGCTACAGGTAGATGAACCACAGTGCCTTCAA